CTCTGGAGTCCTGTACTCTTGGTAGGGTCACTCATGGTGGTAAGGTTGAAGACAAGGTATCAGACAAAGTGCAGCCCACTGGCTAAGGAAGCAACCTGGGACAAAAAGGCCCCACTGCCTTGTGGGTGAATTTGTGAGAATGCAGGTCGATGAGAATAATTTCAGACAGAAAATCTGGAGTAGATCCCCCAAGGTGGTTAGGCATTTTAGCATCCTCCAGCAATTCCTGCAGCCGATTGGGTACCAGATGTGTTGGTCCTCTCCTTTGGGGTTTCCAGATGCATGGGCAACTGAGGATCTCCACATCATTTGTCCAGGCTATGCCCTGGAGAGGTTCTCTGGCTTTGTCTCCAGAGTTGACACAACATGGGAGACAGCTCTATTGAAATCAACCACAGGGGGGAAAAATCAGTGATTGCATCAAGCAGATGCATTGCTGGATAGTAAACTCTGAGGTTTACTCTCATGAAAATATTATTATGGATGCAGCCATCAATGCTCTCAAAAGCCTGTCTGTTATGAACCAACTTGATGATGAACCTACTTTAAAGGAGCTTAACCGTGTGACAGATGGCCTTCCAAATGAAAAGTCTCCCCTAGAAAAGACTGCACACCATCAGGCATACAGTGTGGACAACCTATTTTACTGCAACGTCTTCATGAGTTGCTTTGCCTGTGCTGGAAAGAAGGGAAAAGACATGAGAGGTGCCAACATCATCACACTTTATAAAAACAAGGGTGTCAGGAGCAACCATAAGAATCATCATGGCATTTCCCTTCTTATTATTATGGGAAAAGCCTTTGCCGAGTTGTCGTGAACAGACTTCAATCCCAGTGCAGACACAGTGCAGCTTCTGAGCTGAAAGGTCTACTGTTGATACGATCTTTTCACTGAGGCTACGTCTACACTGCAGCCTTTTGCCAACAGAGAATATACTAATGAAGTGCTCATTAGCATTTGTCATGTTGTCATTTGCATATTCTCTGCTGATGCTTTTTGTGCAAGAGGTTTTTGCGTAAAAACAAGCATTGTAGATGGGTCTGTTCTGTGCAAAAATCCCCTTTTGCGCAAGATTCTTATGTCTCAAATTGAGATTTTCTTTTCCCTGATACTGAAACAAGAATTAGGTTCCTCAAATGAGGGAATCTGCTTGCACACAAGGTCTGATGGAAAGCTATCCAATCTTGCAAGACTCAGATCTAAAACCTAGACTCGTTATCCAACGCCTCCTCTTTGCTGAAGATGCAGCAACGACAACCCATGCAGAAGCCTAATGGACAGTTTTCCCGAAGAATTTAGGCTTACTATAAACATAAAAAAGACTAACAATGTGCCAAGGAGATGAGGAAGCACCTTCCATCAAGATTAACAACCATGAACTGGAAGTGATGAGCGAGTTCACATATCTGGGGCCCACTATTGCAGACAACCTTTCACTTGAAATGGAATTCCGCATCTGCCTTGGAAAAGTTGTCACAACTCTGTTTAGACTGAAAAAAGGGTGAAACAGACAACACTGACAGAACACACAAGATCAGTGTGTATGGTGCACGTGTTATCAGCACACTTCTATATTGGAGCGGGATATGAACCTTATACTCATACCAGGAGACGAGGTGTAGCAGCTTTATATGCATTGCTTTGATTGAATCTTTGGAATCTCCTGGAGGGACAAAGTCACTAATGGTGAAGTGCTCAAACAGGCCAGCATACTCAGCATGCAAACACTCCTCAAACAGAGACACCTTTGTTGGCTTGGGCAGGTGTGCCGAATGAGTGAATTGGCATCTGAAAAAAGACTAAAAGGCAGAACTGTCCCATCCATAGGACAATTCAGGGAGCCCACCCCAAGTCCTGCACTTTGTGGGGCCCTGTGGCAGCCTCCTCAACTGTCCTATAGATAGGCGGGATCTGGGGATTTATGGGATCCTGGAGCAGGGTGGCAGCAGGGGTCACCCCACCCCTCACTGCAGCAGTGGAATCCAGAGTGGCCTGGCAGCCTGCTCTGCTCTGCTCTGCTCTGCAGTGCTGCCCTCACCTGACTGGCTGTTCTCTGCTTCATCACAGCAGTGGGAAGCAGAGCAACTCAGCCCTAGGACGCTCCATTTCCTGCCACCGCAGAGAAGTGGAGTACAGTGGGAGAAGGTGGTGGGGCGGGGCCTCTCTGGCTCCCATCACGATGTTGAGTATGGGGGAGGGTACCCCCTGCTGCTGCTTCATGCCAGGTTCCACAATCCCCCAGCTCATATTGCTCGGAGGAGGGGGTAAGAGGGTGAAGCCGGGATGGGATGCAGGTGGAGTAGGAGCAAGGCATGGGGAGGGGTGGAGCAGGGATGGGGAGGGGTGGAACAGAGTCAGGGTAGGGCAGGGGTGGGGCCTGCAGGAAGGGAGTTGCCCTGGGTGCTCCAGACCCCGTGTTCCCCCTATGGATGACGCTATGTAAAGGATGCTCAAAACTGCATTTCAAGAATGTGTGCTAGTGAGACCTCAAATTAATGGACATGGATAAATGTGAAGGTCATGCTCAAGACCTCAGCCTTTGGAAACAAGAGCTTAGCAAAGCTCTCTGGAGTTGAGAGGGAGCAGTCCACAGGAGAAAAGAACTTGCAGAAAGCAAAGCCCAAAGAATCAAAATATCACCTTTAAATGTGACAAATGCAGCAGAGATGGTCTCTCCCAAGAGGGTCTCTTCAGCCATGCACCCGACTACTATAAAACCAACTGAATAAATTCTTTACCTCTGAGGGTAGTTCGAACTAGGAGGCTAATTTAGGGATTTGAAGTTGCAAATGAAGCCCTGAATTTAAATATCCCGGGCTTTATTTGCACCTTCCCATCCGGGCGCCATTTTTAAATCCCCTTAGTCCGAACTCACTGCCCATGGCTACACGCGGCAGTCAAATGTTAATTCGAACTAAGACATAGTTAGTTCAGACTAAGGGGATTTAAAAATGGCGCCCGGATGGGAAGGTGCAAATAAAGCCCGGGATATTTAAATCCCGGGCTTCATTTGCAACTTCGAATCCCTACAGTAGTCTCCCTAGTAGTCTCCCTAGAAACTGTTTTTCTTGTCATTTCAACCAGAAAGGACACAGTCTCAATGACCTGCTAACCTGCATCCTACTTCAGAAGACATTCAAATCTGCACTTGAAAGGGAATCCTCTGAACTGGCATTCATGCTAAAATTCGACACCCTCCGCACCGGACTTAACAAAGACTCCAACTATCTTACACATTACAAAGATAGCTTCCCCAATTATCACCTCTAATACTATTAACTCACAGACATTTCCCCTTCCCCACCTCTAATATCATTAACTCACTGGCATTCACCTTCCTTCCCCCCCACATCCCCCTTCTGTTCTGTAATGTGATTTGTCCTTTTCATGTGTGTTCATTTTTTTAAATTGTATCCTTTGGTATATATGGTTGTGACTGTTTTCTTCCATTATTTGATCTGAGGAAGTGGGTCTGGCCCACGAAAGCTCATCATCTAATAAACCATCTTGTTAGTCTTTAAAGTGCTACATTGTCCTGCATTTTGCTTCTTTAAAGGGAATTTCAGTTTGTTATATCATAATTCCCGTTATGTCTCTTAGTCTGTTTTAGTTTTTTTGCTGTAATTTTATTTTCCTGGCAATGGATTAGAAAATGGAAGCTATGGGAAGAGTCCTCTCTGGCAGATTTATATGCCCAGAGATTCTCATCTCCTGAGGTGATTAGTCACAATATCACTCTGGTTTTCCTTTTTATAAGGTCTTGTCTGCATGCTGATTTGTCCCCAAGCTTCTTTGTTTACAGGAATAAGTTAAATTATGACAAGTCACAATTAAAGTGAAATTAGTGAGCCTACACAAACAAATTAGACTAAATTCATTTTAAAAACATGCTTTTGATGCAAATTTTAACCTAGGCAAGGCCTTAGAAGTAGATACTTTTTTGTGATATTAAGCCTCCAATAACAAAATTTAATGTACTGCGTTATGATGTCCAAGCTGTTTTGGAATGGCTGGATGCTGTTTTAGTGCCATTTGCATATGAGCAATGCCTTTTTCATAAGAACATGTGTGCAAATCATTTACTGCTTCAGACTATTGGTCTGTAATGATCTAAAAGTTACAGACTCTGTAGAGTGGCATGAGGTGTTGACTGAAGAACAGTGAAAAGGGCACTGTCCATGTATGTCCGCTAAAGAGTCGGTGAACTCTTCCCTTCGTATAGATTCGTCCTTTCCCTCCTGTCTTCACCCTATAGTGGTTGGACTGCTGGCCCATCTTGGAGTGTGTGGTGATTTTTGTGGATCTTTCTTTCTTCGAAGAGGCAGGAGGACATGATAGTCTATTCTAGTTTTCATAACTGATGTCAAATTGTAAGGGGCAGTGACCTCGCTCACATTTGTTTTATTTTTGGTTTGTTACTCCAGATATGTAGGTGATGGCAGTGAATGGTACAATGAAAATTTTCTTTTTCCTTCATCTGTTACTAAAACCTAACTATAAACAAAAGTGAGATTCTCTCTGTCCAGGCTGAGAGAAATGGGGAAAAAAGTCAGTGGGGGAAAATGGTGAAAAATAAATTAGATTTTTTTGTTAAAAATAAATCTATTTTAATCAGCTAAATGATGTTGTCAGAACCATACAGAAGGAATTTTAATTTTTAAAGTCTGATTTGAACCTGACAGTATTCCTTTAATTTCAAAATTCATTGCTAAAACTAAAACCACAGCTTGTCTTTTTAAAATTTTCACGTCTTCCACAATGCACTGCCTTTTATCATGAGTTTTTAGCCCTGTGGTAAATTTGTTTTTCATGTCACAAACCCTGGCTTGCTACAGGAACCACAGAAATCTTTTCTGAATTCATAAAACTCCATTCTCTATATTGAGGTTACTGCTGTCACCAGGTCACACTCCTGAGTCAGAGAATCCATTGTAGAAACTTTTTACAAATTCGTCAAGACATTTGCTTTTAATGACCATTTTCCATTTTCTTTTGAAAGGTCTTGTATCCATTTTCCTTCTCCTTTTGAACTGGGCCTTCTCATCATTTTGAGGTCAGTGAATGTTTCTTTGTTTTGTTTTTTTAAAATTCTGCAGATGATGGTCAGAGACAGGGTACGCAATTTCCTAATTCAGGCTTTTCACAAACAAACACCCAAACAAATTGATCCTCTGCTTCAATGTCATAAGTTTTCATGTAGCTTAGCATGCCGAGTTTTCACTGATTTGATCTCTTCGGTCACAGAGTTCAGACTCCTTTAATGACAGTGTCTAGAGCTGTATATGACTTTCAAAGAAATTTTCTGTGCAGTTTAAGCCATGTTCCATTAAGTATGCCTCATCTATCCCTCCAGTGTTTCTTTGGCTGACCTTATTACAACTTTCTGTTTAGGGCTTTTTCAGGCAACCTCTTTTTCATTTAATAGGATTTGAAATATCTGGACTGACCATAAAAGAATCACATATAGTGGCTTTAAAATTCCACCTGACAAAATTTGCTGTTAAATACTGCTCTATGTATACAGTTCTTTTTCAGTCTCTATGCATTTCTGCTAATTCACCTGAATCTTGGCCACCCTTTTAATCCAGTGATCATATGGGTAAAGACTACGGCCTGGTCTGCACTTAAAAGGTTAGGTTGACTGAGCTACACGCACCCCTGGAACGATGTACATAAGCCAGCCCAGGCCCCTGTACAGACACAGTAGATCAGTGGAGGAATTCTTCCCTCAACTTAGCTACTGCCTTCTGGGGAGGTAGATTACCCAGGTCTGCAGCTGTGATACTGTAGTTTTTCAGATAAGCCCTATATTAATTGAGTTAAAAAGTTCCAAAAACACAGGGGCTTTGTGAAGCAGAGTATTTCCAATGGAGGCTTGCCAGATGTAATACCACTGCAGCCTTCTGACCTAACTATACCTCCGAATCCCATTCGTTAGCAGTAAGATGCAAATTCATGGAATTGCCTCCAAAAAGGCCAACCCATCTGAAGTCTTTTTCATGCACATAGATGTGCAGTAGAGGTGGGAAGAAGAAAGAAGCTTTCCTCCTGCCTTCGAGTAGCTTTTATAAGAATCGGGCACCATATTAGTCCCTGCACAGAGAAGGCATAGCAGAAGCACAGAGATTGGTCCCTTCCCACTCCCGGAGGAGGCAGTGTCTTACTCATTGGCTACGTCTACACTGGCATGATTTTCCGAAAATGCTTTTAACGGAAAAGTTTTCCGTTAAAAGCATTTTCGGGAAAGCACGTCTAGATTGGCAGGATGCTTTTCCGCAAAAGCACTTTTTGTGGAAAAGCGTCCGTGGCCAATCTAGACACGGTTTTCCGCAAAAAAGCCCCGATCACCATTTTCGCGATCGGGGCTTTTTTGCGGAAAACAGTACTGTGCTGTTTACACTGGCCCTCTTGCACAAATGATTTGTGCAAGAGGGCTTTTGCCCGAACAGGAGCAGCACAGTATTTCCGCAAGAACACCGACGCACTTTTTGTGGAAAAGCGTCCGTGGCCAATCTAGACACGGTTTTCCGCAAAAAAGCCCCGATCACCATTTTCGCGATCGGGGCTTTTTTGCGGAAAACAGTACTGTGCTGTTTACACTGGCCCTCTTGCACAAATGATTTGTGCAAGAGGGCTTTTGCCCGAACAGGAGCAGCACAGTATTTCCGCAAGAACACCGACAATCTTACATGAGATCGTCAGTGTTCTTGCGGAAATTCAAGCGGCCAGTGTAGACAGCTGGCAAGTTTTTCCGCAAAATCAGATGATTTTGTGGAAATCTTGCCAGTCTAGACACAGCCATTGAGAAAAAGCTGTATTCTTATTTCATATCAAATTGCAAAGGAGTTTGGTCTCTGCCGTTTTCAATAGGTAAGTTCAGTTGTGAACTTTAATGAACATGAGTTTCATTTGTGTAAATTTCTTTGAGGGTTCTGTAACTCTTGCAGAGACTCTTGTGAAATCAGTAGTTCCATTGAAGTCAATGGCAAAACTCCCGTTGACTTCATGGGTCCAGAATTTCACCATAAAAGAACAGGATACAACACAAAATTTATGATATAATTTTCCAGATGTCCGGCCATCTCATCTATAAGTAATGCTATCTTCATTTTTAACTATCCTGATACCCTGGACTTTAGAATACAAATAAGATTTCTGTGGTATTGAGTCCACAGCCCACACATAACAGCCCAGTATATCTTCATTAACAAGAAACATTTCTATTGATTTCATTTTGCAATGTTTCATATTACACATAACAAATATGTATGGTCACCTAAGTGAATTATTGCAATTCAATTTGCAATGATTGCATCAGGTTATTGTATTATCTCTAGGATGCCTCAGTCTCTGGGTGTCAAAACTGTTTTTATTTAATGGAATAACATGGAAAAGTTAATCAGAGTAGGTTAACCTCTGTGGAACTCAAGGTCACATACATTCAGTCTGAGTTGTAAATGGGGAGCTTTCATTTTTAACTTTTTGAAAAAATACTCATGTACAGGAAAAAGCCAACATGGGAATACTTAACAGACTCACCCCCTCAGTAAGTTTATTGGGCTTTCCACCAAGGAGAATTCCTCTGTAAAGATCCTCTGGAGCAAATAGATTTAACAAGGCAAACTTAATTAAACTGTATTGTAATTAAGCTTTTTGAACTAAATCCCTCCGCTTGAGGTTTAACATTATTATGTACATGCAGAAAGTGAAACAATTGTGTTTTAAAGAAGAAAAAATTGGGATTATGTTGAGATTACAGTTTGTTTTTCTAATAATACTTGTTTCACTGTTACTTGAACTTTCCTGCCTCCTCCTGATCACTTGCATTATCAGCTTTGTTTTTCAGCCCTGTGCTTACACTGCACACCTTGGTTCAGAGATGAGCCCTTAGGACAGAGGGGTCCTCACCCTGATTCGGGGTCTCTAAGAACTATATAAATTATTTTACTCCTGTACTATGGAACTCTCTTAGGCTATGTCAATACAGTAGCGTTATTTTGGAATTACTCATGTTATTCCAAAATAACAAAATGTGTGTGTACACGACAAGCCCTTATTTCACAATAATGCCGAGCAGGAGGACTTCTTACTCCAACTCACGTAACTCGCATTTCACAAGGAGTAAGGGAAGTCAAAGGAAGTGTGTTCTTCCTTCGACTTCCTGCTATGTGGACAGCGCCAAAAGCAGAAATAAGCTATTTCGACTTAAGCAACGCAATTGATGGAGCTGAAGTTCTGCCCTGCTGTGTAGACATGCCCTTATAGGCCCTGTCTGGTCAACTAGCATATAAATAGAGCCACAGGAAAAACATTAAAAAAAAATTGTAACGGGAACAGCAATATGCCCTCTGAAATGTGGTGAAACAGACTAGGGAAGGGGAAGCTCACACTTCAGTTGGAGCTATTATTTAATCTGTTTGCAGGTGCAAGTGGTAGCAGTCTGCATTCTGATGGATTTGATGTTTGGCAAATTTTAAAGGGAAGTATAGACTCTGGCAAATATTAAAAAATTCATAGACGATATAAGGTAAGAATCAGTCATAAAAACATAAGAACGGCCATACTGGGTCAGACCAAAGGTCCATCTAGCCAGTATCCTGTCTGCCGACAGTGGTCAGTGCCAGATACCTCAGAGGGAGGGAACACAACAGGTAATCCTCATGTGATCTCTCTCCTGTCACCGAGACAAGCGGAGGCTAGGGACACCATTCCTACTCATCTTGGTTAATAACCATTGATGGACCTAACCTCCATGAATCTATGTAGCTCTTTTTTGAACCCTGTTAAATTCCTAGTCTTCACCACATCCTCTGGCAAGGAGTTCCACAGGTTGACTCCAGGCTGGCTCCAGTCGTTCGAGTGGAAAGATTTCTGTTTTCTCAGTAACTAGCAACCTTGCAAAGTGACACTAATACAATTTCAATACGAAAACAGGTTTCTTCTAAACAGATTTATTTTTATAAATGTTGATCATAGATAATATTTTAATGAAGCAGAAGAAATTTTTGGTATTTGCAAATTTTTGGTATTTCCTTTAACCATAGATAAATGCCTGAACATCAAAGCCTACTAAGGAAGTCCCCGTGTTTCACAAATTCACTCTCCATCACCTCTGACTTTAAAATCCACCCCTGTGCAAAGGGCCAGCCCAAAGTCTAGCCGTCACTTAAGTCTCATTACACCATACAAAATGGGACATGAGTGAGACTGAAATGCACCTTGGGTGGATGTTACATTGGCTTTCAGAGGAAGATATATTTCAGCCATAGGTAGCAGCCATCAAACCACGGTGAAGGTTGATGAGTAGGTAAAAAAATTCAGAAGATAAAATGTAGGTGCTGGGGCTCTGAAATCTTCTGATTTGTGGTGCTAAATAAAGTGCCAAGTTCTATTTACACAGGACTTGTTGATGCCTCTTCTCTTCTCTAGCATCATCCTCTTAATTGTGTATATCAAGGTAGTACATTGCAACTGGTGGATTGGACCCTTTGGAAGAATTGTCTCTGGTAGAGTAGCTTTAAATGATACTTACTTTTAGGTTCATTCTTTTTGTTAATACTTTAGAGAAATTTCCCCCCTGTGCAATAACATGTTAGTCAATGTCAATATTCTTCCTCTCCAAATGTACCAGCAATGGATATAGTGTTCTGCCCACTGGTTAGAATAGAAACCAGCAAACTAGTTTGTGTTCTGGCCTGGATCCTGTTCCAGCCAAATCCTCCAGCTGCTGCACAGCCTGCTGTCTTCAAAGCTGCAAAGTTTTGGGGAACTGTAGATATTAAATCCTGATGCTGAGGACAATGGACAGACATAGAGTCCCTGGGCTCTTTTGCAAACAAAAAGAAGCTGCGCTCTGTCACTGTCACACAATAAATGATTTCCATTCGCCAAAGGGTTTGACTGAATTTCAATTGCAGCCTTATAGAGTCGGGCTTGGCTTTCTCCAGGGAACAGGGCTGTTTTCAGTGGTCAGCAAAAGAGAGGCCAGAACTGATCATTAATATTTTAAAAGCTAAACATGGAAATGACATCATGAATGATGTATAGAGCCTGCTGTTTCTATACTAAGACAATGATTTCTAAGCAATCAAGATTTTTCTAGCTTGGGACATTTAAAAGAATGTTCCCTTAGATTCTTTAATTCTTCTGTGATCAAATTCTTAAGCACAGAACTGTGGGTTAGATTCTCAGCTGCTGAGAATGAGCCCAGCTTCACGGAAGCCTAGCCAATGCTTGTTTCCCCAGTATTTTTATCCTCATGCCAGTACTAATGAATTCAGGATTTTCTTTCTCTTCTCAGATCTATGTTTTGGACTTGTTTCTCTCTATTCTATTTGATTTTATTGAGAATATTTTTGTTTTTATTGTTATACTTGTTACATACATTATATAACGTGATATGTTGTTTTAATCCAAAATGCTACGTGGATATGGCATTTTAGCTTAACAATATTTGTCATTTAATTTGCAATATCTAATCATAACAAGAAGAAAAGTGCATGAGGCAGATTAAGACACACATTTAAAGAAAAAATCCATAGTTACAGTGAAAAGATTTTGTTTTGCAATTCTGAGTACTCCATAGCCCCTTGAGAAAATAATGAAACAATTCTCTAGAGTTTCTGGGTATGTCTACACTATTCAGCTTTTAGCGAGACAGATTTGTTAACGCAGCCCTGTTGCTAAAAGTCAGCGTGTGTGAATGCTGTTTGTTGGCACTTTTGTCGACAAAACACTTCCAACCCCCAACAAAGCACTTTTGCATTGTCACCAGCACAGTGGTCCTACTAACAAAGCAGGGGGCGGAGGAGGGAAGGGGGGAAGGGAGTATAGGGTGTGTGAATGTCTACAGTTTTGTTGATCAAAGAAAGTGTAGATATAGCCTCTAGCTTAACATATGTTACTGATTTAGACTAGGTTTTGCATAAGTACCTAAGTGCCAGATTTACGATGGTACTTAAGTGCCTAAAGATGCAGATAGGTGCCAACTGGGATTTACACTGGTGCCTAAGTGAATTAGGCATCTAACCCCCATTGACTTTCAAATTTATTTTGATGGGAGTTAGGCTGTAGGTGGTTTTATAAATCCCATTACAGGTATCTAAGTCCCATTGTAAAGCTGGCCTAATTGACTTAAAAACACAAGTCACCTTGGAAAGTCAATTGAATTTATACTCCTAAATCACTTGGGGCTTTTGAAAATCTCACCTTTCAGGAACATTAAAATTTATCCCAGAAGGAAGACAGCTGTATAAAAGGATAATAGTACGCCTTTCATCACTAAGAAGATTATATATTTAATATAAAGTGGCAGAGCCACCATAAATATGCCTATGTTATAGGATTTTTTGGATTAGGAAAATTAATATGGTGATTATTCTGTGATATATACAATTGAAGCATCAAATCAATATATGTTTGAAACTTCACATTTAGGCATAGAGTTCCAAAATGTATTACCAGCAGGTCATGTGATAGTAAAATGCAAATCTTCATACCTTCTTATTTTATTACTTTCTTGTGTTGCCCAAGCTATCTATGCTGAGGCTCTGAACACTCCCAGGAAAACCTATATTTCATTGTAATTTTTAAAAATTCAGTTTGAAATTTTTGCAATTTTATTTTTGCTGCTAAAAATCAAGGATTCAGGAATCGTCACATTTTAATCAGATACACATTAGATATACGTCTCATACAACTCGAAAGATATCAGTTTAATACTACAGTAGATTTCTGAAAAACACTGCTGTTTTGGATAATGCAGTGAAACCTCCACAAAGTACTTCTCTAATTAGGCTACTTCCTGTTGGAGGAGACCACTCCAAAGTATTCATCAGTATACAGAGTAGAATTCTGCTTCACTGTTCTTGGAAGGCTGTCTGTTAAGCTATAAATGGTGGTAGCTCACAGACTTCATTACACATTGTACTGTACACAGTTATGTTATCGATTCTAGTCGAGATTTTGAAAAGTGATTAGTGGTTTGGGGATACTCAGGACAGTCAGCCACCTGAAAGGGCTGATTTTGTCAGAGTCCAGTGGTGCTGAAGACTTTTGAAGCACCCAACATCACTAGTCAGTTTTGAACATTTAGGCATTTATATCCATATACAAGTATATGTTTCTAATTTTTCAGTATTTGCATAACATTTCAAGGAATTGGTTTTGTAAAACCAATAAGACAGTGGTTACACTGTTAACACTCAGGACAGATCAGAAGGTGTTGAAGTGTTGTGCAGAATCAGGCTGAAATAATATTTGTTCTGAGAATAGTTATAAGGAAAGGAAGGATGCAAGGGCTAAATTGTGGAGATAATAGAAATTCAGCTACACCCTGACTTATGGAGAGACTATCACCACTCTATAATATCACAAGTTAACACCCTGCCAATAAAACCACAAACAAGAAAATACAGTAGGGGAAATGAAAAGGAAGTTATTGTGAATAATGCCTATGAAAAATGATTCCAAGAACATTTTAAAAGGGGAAAACTGAGATGCTTCCAAGCACTGCACAAGCACTCCTCAAACCTTCCAGTTCTCCTGTCTCAACTTTTTTTCTCCACACTCCTTCCTTCTAAGAGAAAATTGAAAAAATACCACACAACTTTCTCCTCTCCTTGGTTCATCTTTCCTCTCCCCTTCCTCTTCTACAAGTCTTTCCTACACCTTCTGGGTCACAGACACAGATGTTTCTCATCTGCCTTCCTCAGCTAACCTTGCCACCGACCTCAGTGACCCCATCCCATATTCTAATCTCCCTCACATATGTTCTTATCCCCTCCCTTAGTCCTCTTAATTTCTCACTCTGCTTTGGCTTTTCTCCTCACAATAAAAGCTCATCCTTGAGCCCATTTGCCTTGCTAACAACTTCTCCATCTCCCTTTCATCTCTAAACACATTGACTAGTTTGTTACTCTCTGGAGTTCCACTCTCCACTTCCATTCTGAATGCTTGCCAGTGGCTTTTATATGCCACTCAAACTGCTCTTGCCTAGGGACAAAACTGGTATCAGAAAATGTAAGTGATATGGTCTACAAACATTTATTCAACTATCAAAACAGCGTACGTGGCAATAGGTTCATATGGATACTTTTCCACCTTAAAACTTTCCAACTGCAACAAGCCAGTGGAAAGACTCCTGTGTGCACATTTCTCTCTGTCTCTGTCTCTATCTCTGTCTCTGACACACACACACACACACACACACATCCATTCATACATCATATGGCCATTATGAAGACCCAGTGTTACCCAGGTTTTCAATTAAGAGAGCTTACATGGCACTTTTTGGCGAAGTAGGATGGAGCTACCAGATTCAGGAGATCTCCATACCCCTTAGGTACCCATGTGCCCTCTGCCAATTGGCACTAAGAGTTTCCTGGGTTGCAAAGGTATAATCTGCAATATCTGTGCCCCACAGAAAATATTAGGTGTAAAAACCTGACCTTAACGAAGTCAACAACAAAAAATGCCATTGACTTCAATGGGGCTAGGATTTCATCTGTTAGTATTAAACAGTGTAGACAAAGAGAATGAGACGTGCTGTTCCTACTTTTAATGAAGCCCATGTGTATTGCAAACTTTTAAAAGTTCCTAGTGTATTTTCTGTCCTCTACAGATAATTTCTTTGCAGTATTTAAAAACATTGTTCTTTGTTGGCAAATCATTTTGATGAATTTTGTGGAAATTTTAATCTCAGAGGTAGAAACCCTTAATTGGTTAACTCGTACCCCAATATATAAAAGCATCAGGCCATGACATTTAAAATAAACTGCTGCAGCTTAAATTCTTACAAATCATTTTCTTGAATATATGTGTTACCCTTGGGAATCTCCATTAATGATCTTGTGATTTTTTTCATGGGTTAAGAAGAAACAACAGCGTGGCCTTATAGGGAATGTCTACACAGCAGCATTATTTCGGAATAAGCGATTTTGGACTAAAAACTCTGAAATAGCTTATTTCGAAATAGCACGTCTACACTGCAAATACCCATCAAAGTAATGCTGAGCTATTTCCAAATAGCACGTCCACACTGATTGGAGCCTCAATCGCATTTAAGACCCCTCAGAAGCACTTCAGGCAGGGCATCAGGACAGCAGTCACTTCCTGGAGCTGCGGCTGAGGCTACCTGAGGCTCATGCTTAAATGGACCCCCCTGTACAGTCATGTCTCAGGCTCCTCTCCTTTGCCTACCTCCGTGAGGGACAGCAAAACCATTCTGCTGCATGCTCTGGTTGTCCTTGCGGACACCACAGCATGTCTGCCATGGAGCCAGGCCTCTTGCAAAGCAGGGTACGTCTAGACTACATGCCTCTGTCGCCAGAGGCATGTAGATTAGGCTACCCGACACAGTAAAATGAAGCGGTGATTTAAATAATCGCAGCTTCATTTAAATTTACATGCCTCCTGGGATGAGGTTTACCTGGGTGGTCGACAAATACCTTTGATGTCGGCAGGGGAGCGTCCAGACTATCGCGCTGAGCCGACAAACAGCTGATCAGCTGTTTGTCGGCTCAGCGCGATAGTCTGGACGCTCCCCTGCCGACATCAAAGGTATTTGTCGACCACCCAGGTAAACCTCATCCCAGGAGGCATGTAAATTTAAATGAAGCTGCGATTATTTAAATCACCGCTTCATTTTACTGTGTCGGGTAGCCTAATCTACATGCCTCTGGCGACAGAGGCATGTAGTCTAGACGTACCCTGCTTTGCAAGAGGCCTGGCTCCATGGGCAGTCTCTAGCTCCTGGACCTAGGGAAGGGGGAAAGGTAGTGGAAGCTCCCTCCCTGGGAGGAGGTTTTCCAGCCCTGCCTTCACAAATCCCTGCCAAGGGGTGGGGTTAATTGGGGTTGGGATTGGTGTGTGGAGAAAAGGGGGTTGGGCTTGGGGACCTCCCAAGGGCTCTGGCAACCCTGTGATTCTCTGTCTCCTTTTCCAGGTGGTGAGGGCCATCAACACCATCCTGCTGCACAGGCTCATCCTCCTGGGTGATGTGGACACCATTGTCACTGGCTTTGCCGCCAGGGACTTCTGCAACTGTGTGTGGGGGGGATTGGCTGCATCCACATCCCCATCTGGGCCTCAGACCACCGGGCAGCCGACTACATCAACCAGAAGGGGTACTTTCCCCATGGTCCCACAGGCTGTTGAGCACCACCATGGCTGCTTCACGTTAATTAATGTCAGGTGATTGGGGAAGGTGCCCGCATCTTTAGGTAATCCAGCCTCTACCAGATGATGAATGCTGGCACTTTTTTCCATGACCGCACCATCAGGGTCAGGGATATGGACATGCCCATGTGCATTGGGGGAAGCCTACCCTCTGCTGTCCTGGCTTACAAAGCCCTACACTGGACCCCTCTCTGGAACAGTTTAATGCCAGGCTCAGCAGGGCCTGCACTGTGGTGGAGGATGCCTTTGGGCATCTCAAAGGGAGATTCCTCTGCCTCCTCACCTGCCTGGACCTCGGCAAGCAGAACATCCCCCAAGTAGTGGTGGGATGCTGTGTCCTTCACAATATTTGTGAGGAAAAGGGGGAGATGTTCCTGCCAGGTTGTGGGGCAGAGGCTGAGTGGCTTACCAGGGCTTTTGAGCAGCCGTGTACAGCTGCCATTCAGCAAGGCCATCAGGGGGCTGTGCGCATCTGGGAGGACCTGAGGGAGAGTTTCAGACAAGGACATCTGTGAGACTCTCCCCTGGGCCTCCCCACAAGGGGCCTCTGCAGGGCCCCGCTGTGCCTTTCCTCCTTCACCTCTCCCTTCTCCAGCCCTCCCTTCCCCCTCTCCCTCTCCCCTCCCCTCCCCGGCAGATACAATAAAGCAGACTTTTTGGTTTGGGACAATGAACTATGTTTTTTTAATTTGTGTTAATGAAAATTGGGGAGGGACAGAGGAAAGAATGTGGGAGGAGGGAGGTGGAAGGGGGAGGAGAGGCTTCTTCATGTGGTTGACGGCTGCTGTATATGCTGTATATGCTGCACACATGCTGTCTCTTGTGCCAAATCCCAGCAGGTGTTGCGGCAGGTCCTGGTCCACTTCTCACCACTGGTCCTGCTGCTCTAGAGACTGCTGGAGGCCATGCAGACAGGCAATGTGTTCCCACTCCAGGTCCTCATGGGTTCATCTGTGGAGGTGGCTCCCACGGGGTCAGGAGGCTGGCACGGGAGGCGTGGTGTGTGCCTCACTCACAGCTGGTCCAGCTATGAAGAAGGGCAGTCATCTCAGGAGACAGGGTGCATGAAGCCTCATCCTCATCTCTGAGGGTATGTCTACACTACCCCGCTAGTTCGAACTAGTGGGGGTAATGTAGTCATCCGCAGTTGCAAATGAAGCCCGGGAATTCAAA